TTTGTGATTCAGACACCAATACAACCATTCTAATATTAAATGCCTCTTTCCACTTTTAATTTTTACTCTGTTTACATTTGTATTTTTAATTCTGTCATTATGAACAGTATTTAATTATTAGATACATATTTAAGAACCGGAACCAGGAAAATAAAACCTGATCAGAAATAGATGAGGCTGAAACAAATCGATCTGTTCTTCAGTTTTGTGTTTAATAAAAACCAAACAATACAAATATTTTGAGAATATTAAAATAATAAACCACAGTTTGACTGTCTCTGTGTAGATAATCAGGCCAATCTTAATCTTAATCTGCTTCATTAAATGAAGAAGCAGGAAAAAACAAACATGGTGATCCAGTGACACCAAGCGGTGACAGAAAGTACTGCAGTGTTTAAATCTTCCATCTGAACTTCAGTTTCTTCCTGTTTGTTTTCAGTTTTAATAAAACTGAAGGTTTTTTAAAAGGGTTTTATTAAAACTGTGTTTTGTAAAATTTTTACTTCGGTTTTGACTGAAATTGGTTTAAAACAGTTTTAGAGTTTATTTCTGGTTCTGAATGCAGAACCTGAACCAGGAGACCTGAAGGCAGCAGGTTGATGCAACAGCAGCAGATCTTCAAGCAGCTCAGTGGTTTTTAAACTACCGGCTGTAGTCATATTTCCAAGTCATATTTTCACCATGTTATTCATGCATTTATAAATATCAGTTACTAACTAAATATTTAATTCAAGGGTAAATATTTATCTTTGACAAGAAATATTTACTTCTAAAATTAACTATTTAGTTTGCAAACTAAACACATTGATGAGATCAGAATTGCTCACATATTGCAAAAAATTCACATTTCTTTTAATACATCACTTCCTGAAAAACAGAAATAATCACCCAGAGACGGGCAAAAAAACGAGACCTCTCACTCTGAGTCATTTTAGAATCAGAGCTGAACTCAGACTAAAGAGTCAGACATGAAGGTTAATGCAGCTGCTTGATCACTGAGATCTTCATCGGTTCGATCTTCAAGGTTTTTTCAATACTGTCGAAGTATGGAAACATCTTGTGAGTGAAGGTGTGTGTGAAGGTGTGTATGTGTGTGTTAGTATCCAGATCAGAGAAGGACAGCTTTCCTCTGTCCCAGTCCAGATTCACTCTGATCCTCTGGAGATTCTTCTGGACTGAGAGAAAAGTGGCAGGAGCTGGTGGAGAACGTGCATAATATTCATCTTGATAGAACCATATAACCAACAATCCAGACATTATGCCTTCTTTCCTCTCAACAGATTCTTCTATCACACCGAGTCTCCAGGCATCACTGTGTCCAACATCAACATCCCAGCTGTGGTTCCCTGAGTTAAAACCATCAGAACTCAGAACAGAACAGTAATATTTATCAAATCTCTCTGGATTATCAGGAAGCTGCTGTTTCTCTCCTCTAGTCAAACTGGTCAGATCTTCAGACAGATGGAGGAATGACCCAGCCGTGTTTGGGTCCAGAACCAGAGGAGTGTAGGTCACCATGGTCTGCATGTTGCTCCAGATGTTGAAGGCCAGGTTGCCCAGATGTTTGGCCTGGTCTATCAGAGCTCCTGAGGGCAGCTGTGGATCCTCCAGCAGGGGGCAGCGCTGGACTCTTTCCACTGCAGCCTTGTAGTTGTGCAGGAATGAGACGTCTTCAGCTCTCAGCTCCTCCTCTGTGGCTCTGACTGTGTCTGAAAGAGCTGCTATCTCTCTGCTCAGAGCCTCCATCTTCTCCTCCATCATCCCTCTCTTCTGCTCCTCTTCCTCCCTCAGTGCAGCCAGCCTGGCCTCCTCTTCCTCTGCTAGAAACTGATGAAGCTGCTTAAACTGCTCCCTAATCTGCCTCTCTGTGTGTCGGGCCTGGACCTTCATGTGTTCTGCTGTCTGATCAAACTCCTCCTGAACTTTCTTCCTGAGCTTCAGCTTCTTCTTTAAAGGTTTCAGAGTTTCCTGAAGCTTCTTCTTGTGTTGCTGAGCAGCTTCATCAATGGGTCTGAATCTGTGATTGGTGTGTTTTTCTGAATCTCTGCAGACGAGACACACTGGCTGCTGATGGTCCAGACAGAAGAGTTTGAGTTTCTCAGAGTGCAGACTGCAGAGATCCTCTGAAGCTCTCTGCTCTCTCTGCTGTAAGAAACTCTCACACAGATTCTTCAGAGCCAGATTACAGGGTGGAGCATCTGATGCTGATCTTTTCCGACAAACTGGACATGAGCGACCAGTTCCTCTTCTCCAGTGTTTCTGCAGACACTCCTTACAGAAGCTGTGGCTGCATGACAGAAGAACCGGATCCTTAAATATCTCCAGACAGATCGGACAGCAGAGATGATCTTCTGATCTGGAAGCCATTTTGTCTCAGTGAACCTGAAACCACAGCAGACAGAAAGTCAAACCAGGGATGAATTTTATGCACAAAAGATTTAAATTTGATTCAACATGTTGAGCCTTTTGTGAATGTGGAGATTACAGATTAATCATCTCACTTTAAACTTGAATCATCCCAGAGATGAACATCACACACATTATATACGTTGATAGTCAAATATCTGACATGGTAAATATTGTTTTCTTGCTAGTTAAATATTAAATGCTGCTGTAAATGCAGAGGTTGATTGTTTGAACTCAGTTAAAGTTCATTAGATCTGAAACGCCTGAATCTGTGAGCAGAAGCAGAAACCATTGTTTCTGTTTGTCTTTAGTTTCTACCTGCTGTTCTTTGTTCACTGAAGGTGAAACCAGAAGTCACTTTCTGTCCTGCAGAAACTTTCTGAACTTACTTTGCTCTGCGTGTTGCTCCTCCTGCAGCAGTCTGTGTTCCAGTGTCCAGTTCTCTCTGTTCTCCGTTTAGTTTGATTTCAGTCCCAGATGAAAATCTTCCCACGAGGTTTCTCTCTCCCAACCGTTTCCTGTTCTTCCCGGATTCACTTTTCTTCTTCTACTGTTTCCGTTTCTTCTTCTTGGTTTTATTGGCGGTTGGTAACCAGCGTTCAGCAGCATTAGCGCCCCCTGGTGTGGAGTGCGGTTCCTGCCGGTCTACTTCATACTATGTGTTTCTACATATATAAATATTTCCTATATATGTAATTTAATATTCATACAGATAAATATACTAGTATAAACATTTTTACACGATCATCTATTTATCAGAAACACATTAACAAACTCGCTTCACATCCAATCAAATTCTATGAAACAATTTTCTTTTAAATCTAATAAATGTTTGTAAATGTTTAATACACAAATTCCTCCTCAAAATATTTAATAAATTAATATTTTTCTCAGTTCTTTCAGACTCTCTTCATGTATCTTCCCTGGTTTTTATATTTATGACATTTTAATTGAACATGCTGTCGTTTCATATTTTGAACTTTCATACTTTTGAATTTTAAAGTGTCTAGTTAAATCCTGTTTGTCTGAATCTCAGCCTTGTTTCTCTCTTTCCTCTTTTCTTTTTTCTCCTCTTCGTTTGACTTTTGCTTTCTTCCTTCTTTTTTCTGTTTCTTTTTTTCCTCAGATTTTCTGTTTTAACTGTAAAACTGATTCTGAATTTTCCTCCTTGTGTTTTTCTGCCTCTCATTTCCTGCAATATGTTCTGCAACACAAATACATCACCCCCACTTTGAACAACCCTGTTGGAATCGAAGAAGCTTGGTGAACTGCTCTGCCCCCTGGTGGCCATTCCTGGATTTCAACTGAATTTAATGTGTTTCTGTTAAAGTTCTTACTTTAACAGAACATTCCCAAAATAACAACCCAAGTTTCTCTTCTAATTAATAAATATTTAGATGAAAAATGTTTGCAGTTGTCCCAAAATGTCCAGAATGAATGTTTTATACACTACAAAGTTTTAATGTTAAATTTACCCATAAAAACATTCAAAAGCTTCACTTATTGTTCTATTTCTTTATTCTTTTAGTTAATTCCTTTCAAATATAACATTTTGGAGTTTAACTTTCTGACATGGATGATAAAGAATTTAAAAACTGGAAGTTTTGTCTGTGAAATTGTGGATTATTTAAAGCAAATCTTGTTAAAAATCATTGTAACAGTTAGTAGCATTAACATTATTGATGTATTTGAGTTTGTGATTCAGACACCAATACAACCATTCTAATATTAAATGCCTCTTTCCACTTTTAATTTTTACTCTGTTTACATTTTATTTTTAATTCTGTCATTATGAACAGTATTTAATTATTAGATACATATTTAAGAACTGGAACCAGGAAAATAAAACCTGATCAGAAATAGATGAGGCTCAAACAAATCGATCTGTTCTTCAGTTTTGTGTTTAATAAAAACCAAACAATACAAATATTTTGAGAATATTAAAATAATAAACCACAGTTTGACTGTCTCTGTGTAGATAATCAGGCCAATCTTAATCTTAATCTGCTTCATTAAATGAAGAAGCAGGAAAAAACAAACATGGTGATCCAGTGACACCAAGCGGTGACAGAAAGTACTGCAGTGTTTAAATCTTCCATCTGAACTTCAGTTTCTTCCTGTTTGTTTTCAGTTTTAATAAAACTGAAGGTTTTTTAAAAGGGTTTTATTAAAACTGTGTTTTGTAAAATTTTTACTCCGGTTTTGACTGAAATTGGTTTAAAACAGTTTTAGAGTTTATTTCTGGTTCTGAATGCAGAACCTGAACCAGGAGACCTGAAGGCAGCAGGTTGATGCAACAGCAGCAGATCTTCAAGCAGCTCAGTGGTTTTTAAACTACCGGCTGTAGTCATATTTCCAAGTCATATTTTCACCATGTTATTCATGCATTTATAAATATCAGTTACTAACTAAATATTTAATTCAAGGGTAAATATTTATCTTTGACAAGAAATATTTACTTCTAAAATTAACTATTAGTTTGCAAACTAAACACATTGATGAGATCAGAATTGCTCACATATTGCAAAAAATTCACATTTCTTTTAATACATCACTTCCTGAAAATCACCCAGAGACGGGCAAAAAAACGAGACCTCTCACTCTGAGTCATTTTAGAATCAGAGCTGAACTCAGACTAAAGAGTCAGACATGAAGGTTAATGCAGCTGCTTGATCACTGAGATCTTCATCGGTTCGATCTTCAAGGTTTTTTCAATACTGTCGAAGTATGGAAACATCTTGTGAGTGAAGGTGTGTGTGAAGGTGTGTATGTGTGTGTTAGTATCCAGATCAGAGAAGGACAGCTTTCCTCTGTCCCAGTCCAGATTCACTTTGATCCTCTGGAGATTCTTCTGGACTGAGAGAAAAGTGGCAGGAGCTGGTGGAGAACGTGCATAATATTCATCTTGATAGAACCATATAACCAACAATCCAGACATTATGCCTTCTTTCCTCTCAACAGATTCTTCTATCACACCGAGTCTCCAGGCATCACTGTGTCCAACATCAACATCCCAGCTGTGGTTCCCTGAGTTAAAACCATCAGAACTCAGAACAGAACAGTAATATTTATCAAATCTCTCTGGATTATCAGGAAGCTGCTGTTTCTCTCCTCTAGTCAAACTGGTCAGATCTTCAGACAGATGGAGGAATGACCCAGCCGTGTTTGGGTCCAGAACCAGAGGAGTGTAGGTCACCATGGTCTGCATGTTGCTCCAGATGTTGAAGGCCAGGTTGCCCAGATGTTTGGCCTGGTCTATCAGAGCTCCTGAGGGCAGCTGTGGATCCTCCAGCAGGGGGCAGCGCTGGACTCTTTCCACTGCAGCCTTGTAGTTGTGCAGGAATGAGACGTCTTCAGCTCTCAGCTCCTCCTCTGTGGCTCTGACTGTGTCTGAAAGAGCTGCTATCTCTCTGCTCAGAGCCTCCATCTTCTCCTCCATCATCCCTCTCTTCTGCTCCTCTTCCTCCCTCAGTGCAGCCAGCCTGGCCTCCTCTTCCTCTGCTAGAAACTGATGAAGCTGCTTAAACTGCTCCCTAATCTGCCTCTCTGTGTGTCGGGCCTGGACCTTCATGTGTTCTGCTGTCTGATCAAACTCCTCCTGAACTTTCTTCCTGAGCTTCAGCTTCTTCTTTAAAGGTTTCAGAGTTTCCTGAAGCTTCTTCTTGTGTTGCTGAGCAGCTTCATCAATGGGTCTGAATCTGTGATTGGTGTGTTTTTCTGAATCTCTGCAGACGAGACACACTGGCTGCTGATGGTCCAGACAGAAGAGTTTGAGTTTCTCAGAGTGCAGACTGCAGAGATCCTCTGAAGCTCTCTGCTCTCTCTGCTGTAAGAAACTCTCACACAGATTCTTCAGAGCCAGATTACAGGGTGGAGCATCTGATGCTGATCTTTTCCGACAAACTGGACATGAGCGACCAGTTCCTCTTCTCCAGTGTTTCTGCAGACACTCCTTACAGAAGCTGTGGCTGCATGACAGAAGAACCGGATCCTTAAATATCTCCAGACAGATCGGACAGCAGAGATGATCTTCTGATCTGGAAGCCATTTTGTCTCAGTGAACCTGAAACCACAGCAGACAGAAAGTCAAACCAGGGATGAATTTTATGCACAAAAGATTTAAATTTGATTCAATATGTTGAGCCTTTTGTGAATGTGGAGATTACAGATTAATCATCTCACTTTAAACTTGAATCATCCCAGAGATGAACATCACACACATTATATACGTTGATAGTCAAATATCTGACATGGTAAATATTGTTTTCTTGCTAGTTAAATATTAAATGCTGCTGTAAATGCAGAGGTTGATTGTTTGAACTCAGTTAAAGTTCATTAGATCTGAAACGCCTGAATCTGTGAGCAGAAGCAGAAACCATTGTTTCTGTTTGTCTTTAGTTTCTACCTGCTGTTCTTTGTTCACTGAAGGTGAAACCAGAAGTCACTTTCTGTCCTGCAGAAACTTTCTGAACTTACTTTGCTCTGCGTGTTGCTCCTCCTGCAGCAGTCTGTGTTCCAGTGCCCAGTTCTCTCTGTTCTCCGTTTAGTTTGATTTCAGTCCCAGATGAAAATCGTTCCACGAGGTTTCTCTCTCCAACCGTTTCCTGTTCTTCCCGGATTCACTTTTCTTCTTCTACTGTTTCCGTTTCTTCTTCTTGGTTTTATTGGCGGTTGGTAACCAGCGTTCAGCAGCATTAGCGCCCCCTGCTGGTGTGGAGTGCGGTTCCTGCCGGTCTACTTCATACTATGTGTTTCTACATATATAAATATTTCCTATATATGTAATTTAATATTCATACAGATAAATATACTAGTATAAACATTTTTACACGATCATCTATTTATCAGAAACACATTAACAAACTCGCTTCACATCCAATCAAATTCTATGAAACAATTTTCTTTTAAATCTAATAAATGTTTGTAAATGTTTAATACACAAATTCCTCCTCAAAATATTTAATAAATTAATATTTTTCTCAGTTCTTTCAGACTCTTCATGTATCTTCCCTGGTTTTTATATTATGACATTTTAATTGAACATGCTGTCGTTTCATATTTTGAACTTTCATACTTTTGAATTTTAAAGTGTCTAGTTAAATCCTGTTTGTCTGAATCTCAGCCTTGTTTTCTCTCTTTCCTCTTTTCTTTTTTCTCCTTCATTCGTTTGACTTTCATTAAACCGTCTTCTTGTTCTTCCTTTCATCTGTTTTTCTTTCATTTTCCTCAGATTTTCTGTTTTAACTGTAAAACTGATTCTGAATTTTCCTCCTTGTGTTTTTTCTGCCTCTCATTTCCTGCAATATGTTCTGCAACACAAATACATCACCCCCACTTTGAACAACCCTGTTGGAATCGAAGAAGCTTGGTGAACTGCTCTGCCCCCTGGTGGCCATTCCTGGATTTCAACTGAATTTAATGTGTTTCTGTTAAAGTTCTTACTTTAACAGAACATTCCCAAAATAACAACCCAAGTTTCTCTTCTAATTAATAAATATTTAGATGAAAAATGTTTGCAGTTGTCCCAAAATGTCCAGAATGAATGTTTTATACACTACAAAGTTTTAATGTTAAATTTACCCATAAAAACATTCAAAAGCTTCACTTATTGTTCTATTTCTTTATTCTTTTAGTTAATTCCTTTCAAATATAACATTTTGGAGTTTAACTTTCTGACATGGATGATAAAGAATTTAAAAACTGGAAGTTTTGTCTGTGAAATTGTGGATTATTTAAAGCAAATCTTGTTAAAAATCATTGTAACAGTTAGTAGCATTAACATTATTGATGTATTTGAGTGTTTGTGATTCAGACACCAATACAACCATTCTAATATTAAATGCCTCTTTCCACTTTTAATTTTTACTCTGTTTACATTTTATTTTTAATTCTGTCATTATGAACAGTATTTAATTATTAGATACATATTTAAGAACCGGAACCAGGAAAATAAAACCTGATCAGAAATAGATGAGGCTGAAACAAATCGATCTGTTCTTCAGTTTTGTGTTTAAAAAAACCAAACAATACAAATATTTTGAGAATATTAAAATAATAAACCACAGTTTGACTGTCTCTGTGTAGATAATCAGGCCAATCTTAATCTTAATCTGCTTCATTAAATGAAGAAGCAGGAAAAAAACAAACATGGTGATCCAGTGACACCAAGCGGTGACAGAAAGTACTGCAGTGTTTAAATCTTCCATCTGAACTTCAGTTTCTTCCTGTTTGTTTTCAGTTTTAATAAAACTGAAGGTTTTTTAAAAGGGTTTTATTAAAACTGTGTTTTGTAAAATTTTTACTCCGGTTTTGACTGAAATTGGTTTAAAACAGTTTTAGAGTTTATTTCTGGTTCTGAATGCAGAACCTGAACCAGGAGACCTGAAGGCAGCAGGTTGATGCAACAGCAGCAGATCTTCAAGCAGCTCAGTGGTTTTTAAACTACCGGCTGTAGTCATATTTCCAAGTCATATTTTCACCATGTTATTCATGCATTTATAAATATCAGTTACTAACTAAATATTTAATTCAAGGGTAAATATTTATCTTTGACAAGAAATATTTACTTCTAAAATTAACTATTTAGTTTGCAAACTAAACACATTGATGAGATCAGAATTGCTCACATATTGCAAAAAATTCACATTTCTTTTAATACATCACTTCCTGAAAAACCCAGAGACGGGCAAAAAAACGAGACCTCTCACTCTGAGTCATTTTAGAATCAGAGCTGAACTCAGACTAAAGAGTCAGACATGAAGGTTAATGCAGCTGCTTGATCACTGAGATCTTCATCGGTTCGATCTTCAAGGTTTTTTCAATACTGTCGAAGTATGGAAACATCTTGTGAGTGAAGGTGTGTGTGAAGGTGTGTATGTGTGTTAGTATCCAGATCAGAAGGAAGCTTTCCTCTGTCCCAGTCCAGATTCACTCTGATCCCTGGAGATTCTTCTGGACTGAGAGAAAAGTGGCAGGAGCTGGTGGAGAACGTGCATATATTCATCTTGATAGAACCATATAACCAACAATCCAGACATTATGCCTTCCTCTCAACAGATTCTTCTATCACACCGAGTCTCCAGGCATCACTGTGTCCAACATCAACATCCCAGCTGTGGTTCCCTGAGTTAAAACCATCAGAACTCAGAACAGAACAGTAATATTTATCAAATCTCTCTGGATTATCAGGAAGCTGCTGTTTCTCTCCTCTAGTCAAACTGGTCAGATCTTCAGACAGATGGAGAATGACCCAGCCGTGTTTGGGTCCAGAACCAGAGGAGTGTAGGTCACCATGGTCTGCATGTTGCTCCAGATGTTGAAGGCCAGGTTGCCCAGATGTTTGGCCTGGTCTATCAGAGCTCCTGAGGCAGCTGTGGATCCTCCAGCAGGGGGCAGCGCTGGACTCTTTCCACTGCAGCCTTGTAGTTGTGCAGGAATGAGACGTCTTCAGCTCTAGCTCCTCCTCTGTGGCTCTGACTGTGTCTGAAAGAGCTGCTATCTCTCTGCTCAGAGCCTCCATCTTCTCCTCCATCATCCCTCTCTTCTGCTCCTCTTCCTCCCTCAGTGCAGCCAGCCTGGCCTCCTCTTCCTCTGCTAGAAACTGATGAAGCTGCTTAAACTGCTCCCTAATCTGCCTCTCTGTGTGTCGGGCCTGGACCTTCATGTGTTCTGCTGTCTGATCAAACTCCTCCTGAACTTTCTTCCTGAGCTTCAGCTTCTTTAAAGGTTTCAGAGTTTCCTGAAGCTTCTTCTTGTGTTGCTGAGCAGCTTCATCAATGGGTCTGAATCTGTGATTGGTGTGTTTTTCTGAATCTCTGCAGACGAGACACACTGGCTGCTGATGGTCCAGACAGAAGAGTTTGAGTTTCTCAGAGTGCAGACTGCAGAGATCCTCTGAAGCTCTCTGCTCTCTCTGCTGTAAGAAACTCTCACACAGATTCTTCAGAGCCAGATTACAGGGTGGAGCATCTGATGCTGATCTTTTCCGACAAACTGGACATGAGCGACCAGTTCCTCTTCTCCAGTTTTCTGCAGACACTCCTTACAGAAGCTGTGGCTGCATGACAGAAGAACCGGATCCTTAAATATCTCCAGACAGATCGGACAGCAGAGATGATCTTCTGATCTGGAAGCCATTTTGTCTCAGTGAACCTGAAACCACAGCAGACAGAAAGTCAAACCAGGGATGAATTTTATGCACAAAAGATTTAAATTTGATTCAATATGTTGAGCCTTTTGTGAATGTGGAGATTACAGATTAATCATCTCACTTTAAACTTGAATCATCCCAGAGATGAACATCACACACATTATATACGTTGATAGTCAAATATCTGACATGGTAAATATTGTTTTCTTGCTAGTTAAATATTAAATGCTGCTGTAAATGCAGAGGTTGATTGTTTGAACTCAGTTAAAGTTCATTAGATCTGAAACGCCTGAATCTGTGAGCAGAAGCAGAAACCATTGTTTCTGTTTGTCTTTAGTTTCTACCTGCTGTTCTTTGTTCACTGAAGGTGAAACCAGAAGTCACTTTCTGTCCTGCAGAAACTTTCTGAACTTACTTTGCTCTGCGTGTTGCTCCTCCTGCAGCAGTCTGTGTTCCAGTGCCCAGTTCTCTCTGTTCTCCGTTTAGTTTGATTTCAGTCCCAGATGAAAATCTTCCACGAGGTTTCTCTCCCAACCGTTTCCTGTTCTTCCCGGATTCACTTTTCTTCTTCTACTGTTTCCGTTTCTTCTTCTTGGTTTTATTGGCGGTTGGTAACCAGCGTTCAGCAGCATTAGCGCCCCCTGCTGGTGTGGAGTGCGGTTCCTGCCGGTCTACTTCATACTATGTGTTTCTACATATATAAATATTTCCTATATATGTAATTTAATATTCATACAGATAAATATACTAGTATAAACATTTTTACACGATCATCTATTTATCAGAAACACATTAACAAACTCGTTTCACATCCAATCAAATTCTATGAAACAATTTTCTTTTAAATCTAATAAATGTTTGTAAATGTTTAATACACAAATTCCTCCTCAAAATATTTAATAAATTAATATTTTTCTCAGTTCTTTCAGACTCTTTCATGTATCTTCCCTGGTTTTTATATTTATGACATTTTAATTGAACATGCTGTCGTTTCATATTTTGAACTTTCATACTTTTGAATTTTAAAGTGTCTAGTTAAATCCTGTTTGTCTGAATCTCAGCCTTGTTTTCTCTCTTTCCTCTTTTCTTTTTTCTCCTTCATTCGTTTGACTTTCATTAAACCGTCTTCTTGTTCTTCCTTTCATCTGTTTTTCTTTCATTTTCCTCAGATTTTCTGTTTTAACTGTAAAACTGATTCTGAATTTTCCTCCTTGTGTTTTTTCTGCCTCTCATTTCCTGCAATATGTTCTGCAACACAAATACATCACCCCCACTTTGAACAACCCTGTTGGAATCGAAGAAGCTTGGTGAACTGCTCTGCCCCCTGGTGGCCATTCCTGGATTTCAACTGAATTTAATGTGTTTCTGTTAAAGTTCTTACTTTAACAGAACATTCCCAAAATAACA